GCTCATCAAACACACAAACATCTGCTTGTAAACAGTAAGAGATACCACAAGCTTCAGCTTGCCAGCTAATAATTTGTTGCTATTGTCAGATAAGCCTTGTTCCCGAACGCCTGCTCTGACATGCTGAAGTGAAGTTGACACCTAACTTGCCAGACATCAAAATGTAGCCTGGCTTCTCCTTTGATATCCCTTGTTATGCCATGTGATGGACAGCCTCACCCTGCAAGTTGATGTGATTGGTTCCTTAGGATTAAGGTAACAAACTTTGTCTCACTCCGAAGTCGTTCTCACTCCAAAGTCTTCTAATATTGGCATGATATGTGGCTGGTTGCCATTGCAGTAATTAATGGTGCCTGGCATCATCAGAGGGAAACGCGGCGGGACAAGAACAAAAGTTAAGGTGGTGAAAGTCAGATTAGGTGAGTGCGGGAGCGGTGGTGAATGGATCCAACAAACACCAGGGAGAGCGGTGTTTATGTCCCGTAAGATTTTAAAGCTAAACCCTGCTCTTTTTTCCTAAACCTTACCATGTGCGTTAATTGTTGAAGGAAAAAAACATCAATATGCAGTGTTGTAGGGACGTAGTGTGTTTATTTTGAACAAGACTGTATGTAAACGGTAAATCTATTTTGAAAGATGAAAATGCATGTAACAGGCAGAACTTGACATGGATTCCCAGAACGTCAACAACCAAAGCACCCAGGGTATCTTTCACGTCTTATGTGGACATGGAAAGTCCATGACCAAACACTGATATGTGATGAGGTCGGAGTGAGAATGTGTTGGTCTGACTGCATATTTCACAAATAATATATGTCTTAATATATTAAACAAAACACCATAAGGATATGTTGACAAGAGAAAAAACTTAATTTTCACTGGAGCGGGTCTTCAGTGGGTATTAAGTCAAACTTCTATCAAGCGTCTCAAAGTTTGGGAATGTCGCAGGAATTAGCCCTACATTCTGTCATCAGCATCATTCTGTCACTGCGAAAGTTAGTTCAGTGAGCAAGTCTGCAGTTTAATTTGGAAGTTTTTTTCTCTTAATTGGCACTCAGTCATAAACACTGGTTTAAAGCAAAACCAGATCATTTAAATAGAGGGGTCAGATTTCCCTTAGTCTTTACTATTGGTTTCAAATTAGTGTCACGTCTCATTTAACTAAAGCTTTAAAGAATGGAGTCCTGATGCATTAATGGCCCAGCAGAACTTCTTATTTAGAGACCAAATGCCTATGATCCAGCTCCAACATACTGTATCTGCAAACCAATTTCTGCACATCATTATCCAGCTCTGTTAATCATAAATACCCCCATGCTTGTGACCTGATCCCAGCCGTCCATCAACCATGAATATCATTAAATGTGAGCCATGATGCACAGTAATTCTGCCCCTAATTCCTCCTCATCAAGACACAAAGACAAAAACAAACCAAAAAACAAACAGAGAGCAGGGGAAAGAATTTGGCCTCTTTGTATCCTTCCCTTTGTGCCGTTGGCATGGTGGCTTTGAAGCCTACAGAAGTGGAAGTGAAAGTGATTGAACTTGCTCAGTGAGGCTTGTTCGACAGGACCGGGTTGTGCAAATCACGCCTCATGACCCATTTGTGGGTGTGTTTATTAACCCCATGTACAGTACTTCCACATTTTGGGTTTGCTAATGAGCAGTGGGTACATGGGTAGATGGCACATGTCAAAACAAAAAACAATTTTATCTGAAGATGGGACTTTATCTATTACATGGCACTACAAGTTCGGATGGCATAGACCCTGTCCTAAATTCCATTTAACTACCAAATATGGCAGAAGCACTGTTGTTAGGTCTGTATGGCAATGACAATGAAGATGGGGAACAACATGCACACCAACATAATGACTGAAAGGCCATCCAAACCTTAAGATGATTTCCCAGACCACATATTCATGGGCATATACTGACTGCCAAGAGGATTAACTTTGAATTTGATTAATTAGATAGGATTTCGGACACAATTAGTGATTCCCTGTAGCTAAAACTGAACACTTGTCTTTTGTCCATGATAGCAGGTAGCTAGCCAGAGACAAGTGAGCACCATTGATAGAACAGCTTTCCATCTTGACTAGTCTACTGCAGTGGTTCTCAAGTGGTCCATTCACAGGGGTCAAAATTTCTCCTTAGTCATTAGTCCAAGGTCCACACAGTTTAATACATCCGGCGTCATACTTGTGTTTGGCCATGCAGCGGAGCTACTTTGCTGTCTTTGTCAAGTAGTTGTCTGTCTACAGCAAAAAACAGAACTTCAAAATCAAAACTCGGTGCCAGAAATTCACTGTATTTAAAAATAACATGTTTTTTTTTTTTTTTTTTTTTACAAACTTGACATGTCTGCAAGTCACTTGCGGTCCATTCAGAATGGACTCGCAACCCCCTTTTGGACCAGGACCCACCAGTTGAGAACCACTGGCCTACCTGTTCATTCTAAACACAGATACAGCTACAAGCATGACAGGACAAGTGCTGACTTAAGAATCAAATTTACACTTATAAATATGATTTCTTAAGATAATATGGGGGTCTAAGACAGGACACAGATATGAGTTTAGGAATAGTAACAGGAAGAAAGGATTTTTCTTACCTGTGAAACTTTTTTTTTTTTTTTAATGAGGCCTGTGGTTGTATGCTGAATAACCATTGCTGTGGCCATTGTATGGTTTATTAGATAATTGCAATATGTAACCAACTGCTGTGTTTACATGGTTGACCCATATGACTTATATCATTAGAAAGCTGCGATCCTTCTAATTTGATTAATTACGGATCATTTCAAGGCACAACCACTGCAGCAGGTACTTTAAATGCGTCTGTCAGACAACCAACAAGCAAACAAATAGCTCATACTTACTTACCTATGATGATTTATCATAATCCACCTTCCCTATATATTTGCAAAGGCCCAGACGACCCATGCACTGAATACTGAGTCCAAACTCAACATTGCAACCATAGATATTCATGGACAGCTGTTGCATCATTTCAAATGTTTTGATTTCTCCAGGTACTGTCTGCAGTATCCTCAGTTTGCATGTAAATTTCCCTGATAACAAGATTTCAAAATGGCGACCAAACTCTGACCTTTTGATTGACACTTTACTTAAGCAAATAGGAGCTTCCATATCCTCTCCAAAACCTACAATAGCCAATGAGAGCCTGTGTTGGGAGAAAAGCCTGCCTCTTTTTTCACTCTGTAGAGCCAGCCAATAGCATGCAGCTGGTCCGATGACAGACAGGTCTTGCAGCCAGTGAAACCCCTGATCACAAGATGGGCTTTTAGGCCCATTATCTTTAACATAGACCATTTTAAATGCACATAAATGATAAACAGGTGGTTCTTCATTTGTCTTAAGAGGAAAAAACTCAGTCTTGTTATTAATTTAGGTTTTCAAAAAGTGTTTTCATATGTGGTAGGCTATGGTCCTCAAGAGATATTTTTGCTTTGATTGATGTGTTTTTAACTCTTACATTCAGTACATTATTTTACCCTTTGTTTGAAAGGCGTCTAACCAAAATCTTAGAAAATTGTGTGAAATTTTTATTATATTATTGTCTGCTTTAAATTTAGACAAGGTTAGATTTTATGTTATGGTCTTTGTTTTCCTGCCAATAAGTCCCAATCATTGTCATCTGTGGCATCTTTTTTTCGAGAAAATTTTCAAGCAGAGATTTAAAAAAAAATAGAATCTTTTTTAGTGTATTCAGACTTCTATTACTCAATGACAGTCACAGTTACACTGATTCTGACTGTCAGGGAAAATCTTCAGAGTCCATCCATGTACTTAAACATGGAATAAGAACAGCTTTCAGTTTACTTTGGGTATGCCTTGGATAGGCCTTTTAGATTAATTTTACAAGTATGGGAAGAGGTTTTTAATAGATGCATCAGCATGCCACTGAGATAAAGTTTAAAAAAAAACTGTCTGGAAGCCCGACAGTCTATGACTCCTCTTATGGATACTAAGTGCAGACTCCCAGAGGGTGGTCGCTGGCATGGTTTACTTTCATAGGCGCATGCTTCCATTTGTCATTGTTATGCTAAACATTGCTTTGGTATCGAGGAAATTGAATCAAGGAGCCGTCCAGCAGCAGTCTTGTGGCTGTCTTGTCCTTATCATTTCCATCAGCCTGATCAGGAACACATTGAGCTCCCACCAACAGAGGGTCAGAAAGTCACGTAACCTTAGGGCAGGCAGCCATTTCCTGAGCACTCCATCACGATAGCCTCTGTTGGCCTTCAGGCAGTGATGTAATATGCAAATACGGAGTCATTTAGTTGTGACCCACAGTGGTAATGCTGTTGATTATCAACTGTAAAAGACTCTCTCTTTACAACTGCACACAGAGAGAATTATAAGGGACCAGCAACAGAAATGTCAGAGATGGATATCGCAAAATCTGGCAAAGTAAAACCAAAATTAGCTCTATGGGCAGATACCAAGAGATATAAGTGATAAAATGTGTTTTATTTTTGTTTTGTTTTTGTAATTTAGGCAGTACCCTTTAAGCTAATGGCAGCATCACACAAGAAAGGAAAATGACAAGAGACACAATGGCATCTGCATAAGCCATAAATGATGTTAGTCTCACAGGAGGTGGATCTGAGCACGACATCAACATTTCATTATAGAAGTTGCTGCCAAACCCCTGCTGAGCAAAAATATTCTACTGTCACACTCCACTACGAGTACAGGATTTAAGGCGACTTTATAGCTGACTGAGAGAATAATCCAGTTTGCCTGCGATGGCAGATGGAAGCATTTACAATACACCAAAATGTATTTCTACTTCTGTAACTTATCGACAAATAATTAGACAAATTCTTGTAATATTAGTGTTATTGGACACCAAGGGGAGGCAGCACTGAGGCTATTGCCACACCAGCATGACGTGAATAAGATGCCCTGTTTAAACATGGATGTACTGTTATGTATTATTACCTTATATTAAATAGCACACAAACAAGCACACAAAAGGTGACAGCTCCACTTTATTGGAAGCAGTTTGAATTACCACACACACTTAACCAAAAAAAACTATACTAAATGGGCAAGTAAGACAATAAGGGTATATTGTATTCTGTAAATATGCTCAACATTACATGATGAGTTTAAAAAAAAAAAAGAAAAACTGGAATGTAAAAGAGAAATAAGTTGAAGGAAACTTCTGGACAGTGACTTTAAAAAGTGGAAGAAAGGCAAGTGCAAAGTTTGCATAGCCACAACAAAACATGAATAAACACTGATTCAAAAGAGGAATGAAAATGAGAAACCAGCCAAGTGAGAAAGAGAAAAGACACATTATACTTGATAAAGTGACTTCGGTCAGTGTTATTTTCAGACCCTAGTTATTCCACATTTGTACCTGAGTAGAATTCAGATTATTTTTCTGCCTCTTCAAGACAGACTTATTCACATTACAAGTAAAGTGCGAGAAAGAAGACTTTCAACTGTACGGAAATCGTACATGTTGGTGCTCAGGAAAATAGAAAATACAAAACAAGATCAAATAATAATAAAAAAAAAAATCCTGCACACTTATTCTGTGGCACTGTGAAGCTTACCATTTGTGCTAAAAAAGGCACGTCTCTGCATAAATATGTGTAAAACACAGAACATATCACACATTCATACGGATTCAATACTGTCAATTCACCATGATTGTAAACTTCATCTGTGGGGTTTGACGTTATTGTCTCTGGCTGCGCTCCTGTTTGAAGGCCATGATGAACTTCCAGGCTTCAACATACTGGGACAGACAGATCGCTTCTGGGAAGAGCTCCTCCACATCAGGGGGGATGTCCAGGTCTTTGCGCTCCATGTAAGACACCAGTGTGTCTTTCAGGCTTTTAAGAGACAAAAGATACTTTACACATGTGATCTAACACACACACACACACACACACACAACTACCAGTCTGAATAAAATAAAGCTATGTAGCTAAAAGACCTAGCACACTTCACTGAGGCTTAGGACGAGAGGTACATTTTGAATTGTTTATACTGTACTAATAGCCATGTTACTTAATAGCGCAGTATTTACTTAGGCACAGTGTTTCACCTTCATGGGTTGTCCCTGCGCCCAATCAAATAACAGAAATTTGTACAACATAACTTTTTGTCCCGGGCTTTTCCAGGACAACCAAATGTAATATGTAGGAGGCCAACTCTGACCAAAGTTAACCTCAGGTTTGTTTGCATGCAACACACTGAATCCCGCCAAGGTGGCTCAAAATGAATCAAACAGAAACCACTTTGTTTCAACTGAGACCAACAGCACAGCATGCGGTGTTTTTTCTCCTTTTTTTCCTGTCTTTTATTTTGTACATGATTTTAAAGGGAGCCTATTATGCTCATTTTCAGATTCATTCTTGTATTTTGGGTTTCTACAAGAACATGTTTACCTGCTCTGATCTTCCAAAAACACTTAATTTTCCTCATACTGTCTGTGCTGAAACACCTGTATTCATCCTCTGTCTGAAAGCACCTCTCCCAAAAAGCCCTGCTCCGATTGGTCAGCAATAGGCTCATTCGAGATGAACTGCGTCTCGCCTGAAAAGTAGATGAGAGCAGGCAGCCACAGCGGGGGCAGTGACAAAAAGCTGCCGTGAAGTCGGACAGTTTCCCGACAGTTTCCAGCAGCCTTCAGTCTGTACAGGAAGTCACAGACACACTAACATCCTGTCTGGAATGATGTCACTTCATTAAAAAAGTGATCAGACCCATATATCAGTTTGTTTTCATCATCAGTCACACAACATGTTTTCTGTTCACAGAATAAACCTTCAGATCAGACAAATACAATCTTAATCTCTAAAATTCAACAAAAATGAGTAGTTTATCTAAAACGTCATATTGTTGAGTCGGCATCTAAACCAATCAGCTGTTAGATCAGGTGAGAGCCAGACGGTGCAGTCGGTGGAGAGCAACTGCAGCACCTGGCTCTACAAACTGCGGCCGCCTCGCTCTCGCGGCTTTATCGCCGTCCACTTTTGTAATACGTCAGAGCAAGTCGGGATGAAGTCGGACACAAAACTAACCGGCATGCATTGTGCGCCGATCGCCGGTGATCAAATCTGCGCAGGACTCGCTCACCTCGAACGAACCTATTTCTGGGTCTTCAATAACTGACCCTTTGCTAAGTCCCACCCCCAGACGCAGACTGGTCAATCATAACATAGCATCAGGCTGACTCAGACCAGGGTACGACAACAACACAGCTGTGCTCCATTGACTCTAATACAATCGTTTCAGATTTCCTCCATTTTCAGGCTGGTTTTGTGGATTTGGAGTTAAATGTTGTGCCTGGGGCACGTCGTGTATTAATGATACTCGTTACCTGGAGAGGTTGGAAAAAGATATACCTTTCTTCCCTGTTCCAAAACCAAAATCAAATCCTGAAAAGTGTAGGGTTAGCTGGCTAGCTACTGAAGATATAGCCTACTGAATGTATACACGTGCTGCTTTTGCTTTTTAATGATTGTAACAGTGAAGACCGACCCTGCTGTACAGGAACCAGTGAAGGGAAGCAGGGAAACTTTGCTCATATTCAACCAGCTGTGTGTCATCGCATTGTGCACAGATCAATGTTGTGTGACTTCTGGGTGCTGGCAGCGGTATAGGGTGAAGCCAAACACTGTTCATCTGCACACACTGCGATGCCACACAGCTGGTTCAATATCAGCAAAGTTTCCCTTTATATTCATTGTCTTGTGTGGCGATCAGCAGTGATGTGGTGGTTCACTTTTACACTGTGATCTGTAGCCTATAGTTCGACTTTAGCTTCTAACTATCTTTGTCTTTTTAACCTGTTGTTGCTGCTGAGTCAGTTTGACATCCTGGATATATCCTTCAAACACAGACTGTAGACCCCTCTGTCTGCTTCTCTGTGGAATCACTGTTTACTTTTTCCAAAAATATGAATCGATTTTATTTTAAAAAAAAAAAAAAAAAAGAAGAAGAAGAAGAAGAAGAAGAAGAAGAAGAAGTGTTACCTCCAGTCAGGCCTGTAGGTGTCAGGTGCATCGGGCTTTTTAAGGACCAGCACCAGGAACTCGTGCATCTCCAGCAGGAATGTGTCAGCACTGCTCTTAGAAAAGAAGCCAGTCAGCAGCCTGTGCTTGTCCTCACTCAGGGCCTGTTTGTACTTCTCTGAGACTTCCACAAATGGATCCTGAAGAACACAGGGAGTGCATGAAACAGGGATAATAATAATGATGATAATAATGCCATTTTCACCATACTGGTAGCCATGTGTTACCCTCTTGAGCCGCAGCATATTTTCTGATTTGAGTGAGGCCAGCAGCTGCCACAGAGCCACACAGTGCTTCAGACAGCACATGCTCAGGGCCTGTGAACAAAACAGGGAGAACATGAAGTTTTTTCTCATGTGTAGCTAATAAAAAAAGGACCCACACTAATTAAAACCACGTTTATTTTAAATCCAATACTCTGACTTTTAGTGCTGTTATACTATACTTTACTCTCGGACAAGAGAATTTGCTCTTAGGGGCAGATTTGGCAAACTGTTTGTATACAAAGTAACATCTCTGGAAGTGAGAGAACTTCAATAGGATAATATAACCGGTGTCCCAGATAGGCCGACCTTGAGGATATGCGGAGCCATCTGGTTTCCCATCTGCAGCACCTCCTCCAGGTAGCTGGACAGCTGCATGTGAGGCTCTCCCCCAGTCATGGCAAGGAAACCGAGGGCTACTTCCAGTGTGGACAAGGCCTCGCACACCTCGCTGTAGGAGTGCAGCTCCCCAGCCACGGTGAACAGGGTGAGAGTCTGAAGAGGCTCCTATTGGCACACAGACACGGGTCGTATCATCTCTACAGCAGCATGCTCAGTTGGGCTACCTACTGTGCTGTATGTCACAACTTACCTGCTGGACTTTTGCTTTTACATCCTTTAGGATAACCTCATAGTTGCGGTCATGTCTGTTCACCAGTGTTGGAATGCCCTGTGGGAAAGAGTGAGTATTTTAACATGTATCTCCAACAAAAAGGTGTCATAACTGTACTTTGCATGTGCTCTCAGATCGCTCACATTGAGAGTGATGAGTGGTTTGCCCTGTAAGAAGCGAGAGACGATCTGCTGCTGGATCTTGGGCAGGTCATACTCATGAAGGGTTTCCTGGCCTCTCTCAATGCTGTACTGGGTGTTGGACAGAACCAGAGGCATCAGGTCCCTCTCCAGCTCGTACCGAATCACGTGCAGGTCAGTCAGATCTGCAGGGCTCACTTTGTAGCTGGGGGAGGGAGAAACACAAGACACAGTGTCTCTGAATCATGAGAGTACATCTGTTTGTTTGTTTTTAACCTTTCTAGCTATGAGTTGGTAATTCTAAAGTTATCTTTCTAACCTTTTTACAATCTCTCAGTAAAAGCAGCACACAAATGAGATACACATTCAGGGAAGAAGTTCACACACTGTGTTCCGACAGCCAAACATGTGCAAGTGAGAAAAATGTGGCATGAGCGCCCCCACCTGGTCTCCTCTCCAGTGTGCTTATCCACACAGTAGACCAGGTCATTGTGCAGGGCGATGAGGTAGCTGACAAGGGCTGTGGAGCACAGGCCTGGGCCTTGTCGCCGCGGCAACAGCACCTTGAAGTCAGTGTTGACGTCCAGGTCCTTCTGGCAGAAATCCGCCGGGATCTTGATCTCACCTGAGCGACAGCATTTCATTTGAGGTCAGATCACGATGTTGGACAGGGCCAGTGTTAGTGTTACTAAGTGTCTGTGTATTTACCGTTCGTTGCCAACGACACTCGGAGCTGATTCCAGGTTGTCAGGAAGATTTTGATGTATTTATCATACCAGGCTTTCAGCGAAACTGCACACACGAGGAAAACAAAATTTCATCCCAAGTGCACAAACGTCCCTCAGAGGCACGACTTGCAGCACGTTGGACGGACCGACTACAGCATTTTAAGGCATCTCACGTGTGGAAGAGATTTAGCTCTTTTAAGAATACTCAATCATTGTCTCCTCCCAGGTTAAAACAACTCATTCCTTGGCAGGCAGCGTTTTTAACTGTGCGCTGCCAGCTATTTTACTATGACATTTCTGAGAAAGAGGTAATTAGGAAATGCGTGGAACTTTGTATCTCTTGTGTGAGTGAGTCATGCAATTGAAAAAGCTGGCGCAGACAGTTAGTTTCAGTACCTGCTTTCTGACTCTGGAGGAATTCAGCAATGGTGCCACAAGTCAGATCGGTGATGTTTTGGAACTTCTTGACCAGATCTCTCTGGAGCGTGAGGATGTCAGGAAGGTGTTTCACCAGTCGGACCTCTGCTTCCTTAAAAAATAAAAATAAGAAATTGCCTCAGTGGTGCGTTCAGGCGGACATCACGTCACATCTCTTGTATATTCTTGGGTTACTCCAATGATTTTTCAGTTTTCTTAACAGGATTGCAGGATTTTCTTTAAAAATGTATAGATTCATACAAAAGTAATCCCTCTCAATCATCACTTATGACCCCCTAAAAGTTTGTGGCAGTGTATTTATCTGCAGAGGTCCTGCCTTTTACCTGTCTATTTTTATTTTCTTCTTATTTTGTTGTTTTCAGGATGTCTCTGGGCATGTAGCCCCCAGCCAAAACAGCACAAAGGTGAGGTGAGGACTAAATAAAAAGGCAATTACTGGGTGCCAAAGTGTAATCAGCACGTATTTGAGAGGAGGCAAAAACAAAATGCAGACACAGTGCCAAAAAAAAACGCAAATATAGCACAGTGAAATGCCAAGAGGACAAAGTTTGTTTCAAAATGAGAGTGAATCTGGGTTGGTTTTCACTTTTATTTCCTCTGGTGTGCACTGGAGGAGAGGATGGGGATCATGAGTGACGTAAGTTGACCTTTTTTTCTGATGAACAGGCTGGTGCTGGTAGTTAGCTTAGTTAACTTGCTTAAGTATCTGCTTTTCCGTGACAAAAAATGAAACGTTCCAACAGTAGGATCTTGCAGAGTGCACACACTCAGTGTAGAGAGGAGGGGACAACTGTGAATATGTTGTTCACAAACCAGTAACCAACAATCTCTGGATAGTATGCCTTTAAATAGTAAGTATTCTTTTTTTAATTTGTGATTAAACAGTAGGGTTAATGAAACTGGATTCCTTTGCAAATGTGGAGCGTTTTCTTACCCTATGCAGAAATCTCCAGAGCACCGGCAGAGTGTCTTTGCCGTCATTCTGCTCCACAATGTGGGTGAGACTCAGCAGAGACACTTTCTCCCTGCAGCTCCAAACAGCCGAACCATGGATCAGTGAATTTTGGGGAAGTGACGCCAGGAAGAGACGAGGTTCTCCGAACATGAGCTTCATGATTGGATTGGCAGAGATGCGGGAGTCAGCCCGGATGAATGTGTTCACTTCCTTTAGCTGCCTATCCAAGTGCTGTGGAGGAGGAGGAGGTGGCAATAGACAACGTGTTGGGTGCAGATCTCTTACAAACAGGCAGAACTAATTGCTGAAATTCAAATATGTGCTGTATTTGTTCCAGTTTAGAACAAGTAGATTATTTAAAAAGTATTTCTACCTTCAACTGAGGTGTGATGATGATGTTGCTCACTTCCATCTCCCATCCATTTCTAGCCTCTTTGGTGGAGAGCACATTGTCATAAGGAGCAGGCCCTAAAAGGAAAGACCAGTTTAATTGTTTCATAGTCGAAGGTTAAGTCTCAAAACAAATTAAAAAAATGCACATAACGAAGTTGCTATAGTTACCACTGTAATCACACTACCATATCATCCTGGATCATACAGAAAGCTAGAGAAAGCATTGCAGAGGGCAGTGCTGACCCATAACTCCCACATTTGTTGAGTTAAGTGACCTAAATTGACTCCATATCCATCTTTATATCATCCAATATGTGTACATAAATTGCAAAAGGAATGCAATGCAATTTCTGACCACTAGAGGGCACCCCTTTCCTATGTTCTGTCACTACCCTGCAGGCTACAACTTTACAGCAACAGGTAGACGATGATTTAGGTGCAATAAACTTTAGAAACATGTTTTTACGACCTTTAAAATAGAGGTGAAAAAGGAAACACAGCTGTTGATATTCAAACTCAAATAACTTCATTTTGGTATTGTTATGTTTCTATAAATATCCACACAGCACTTAATAGTTTTATAGTAGGTCTGTTGGTCCTTACATGTTTGTTGTTTGGGCACCATGAGGCTGCTGATGAGCAGGTGAACAGCGCTGACTGTGTCGTCAGTGCCTTTACCCAGGGACCTGATGAGATGTTCTAGGTCCTTTCGCAGGTGCGCAAGTAGAAAAGCACCTGTGTCAGGGACTGGTGGCTTGATGATTGTAGAGATGGACTAGAAACACAAATAAAGTGGATGAGCGACCAGACTCCCCCTCTCTAAGAGCAGGGTATTAACAGTGCTCTAACACTTGAATGATAGCTTGTGTTGTTTGTGAGCATTTTTGTTTTGCTGCACCTCTAAACACATAAGAATATATTGCTTGAAGAAAGGATCTACATTGGAATTGTTCTCATAATTTAAGCTACCTGTGGGTGGTTGCAGGCGCCGAGCAGCATGGCCATGTGAGTGAGCATGCGGACCATCGTGAAGGGAACAGGAGAAATGCTCTTTGTGTCCAGCATGTCCGGATTGTCCCTGCGGCTGGGGTCGCCGAGGATGTGGCCTGTCTGAGTGCGGTCACCCCTGTGAGAGGACAATGAATAAATAAATACAAATTTTAAAAAAGAAAATACACAATGAATTTTCTTCTGTGTTACAATTTGTCCTCGACTGAACTTTAAGACCACTTACTGCAGGCCAGTAACTTGAAATCCCTGCACAGGCCTGTGATTGTCTCCTCCAATCTCAGCACCACAGTCCACACAGTGACTTTTCTCCATGGGCTGGCCACACTAGAGAAAAAGAAACAAGATTTTAGAAAATAAATTCTTAAGAGTACGGAAATAAGACTGATTACAAACGTTTTTATGGATCACAGTGAAGCAACATACCTCTCCAATGGTGCAGGGGTGACCATTTGGACAACCTATGGTGAGAGTAAATAAAAAATTACTTACATAGAATTTTCAACAATATTTCAAATTTTAGAGTACATTTTCTTTCTCCTGTCTGTGACTTACGGTACCACTGCAAATGCCCCATAGCTTTTTGAGCCACTGCTAACATGTCCTCCGGCATGCTAGGCAAGAAGGCGGCCTGTACCGACAGATAAAAACATTCAATTCACTTCAAAAAAACAGAGAAAGCCTAGCTTCCAACATTGACAACAGCTGACTGTACACATACCTGCATGTTGGCAGGAGCCATTGCCAGCTGCTGCAGGGGAGCTAAGATCCCCTGGTTCCCGCAGAGCAAGACAGCAGCCAGGTGAATAGCTAAGTCCACCAACACACAACGGGCACCAGACGCACCCGGACGAACATCCAACAGCTCGAGGTTGTTGGTCACCAGACCCCTAGCAAAGGCCTTCATCTGCGGGCTGGCAAGGACTTTTGAGTTTTCGATGTAACCCATCAGGGCTTCCAATTGCTGTGAGTACAAACACACAAAAATATATAGATATGTACTTTTACACTTTAAACCACATCTCAACCAAGAGAAGTGTCTCCTTTGGATAAAGTTGTGTGGTAACGTTAGACCACAACATCAACTCAACGTGAATAAGATTAACAAGGATGTCTACATCTGTTTTAAGGTAAGTCAACATTGTGTTTGAGGCAACATATTGTCACTTTGCTGGAAAGAAATATAAAGTTATCTTTAACATCTCTAGCTAATGTTAGCTAAAGTTAGCCTAACGTTAGCTCCTAGCTGCGTTGTTCATCATGTCACTTTGTTTGCTGGGAGTTCATTAGTCTATTTTGTTCTAGTTTTGTACTTTGGTGATCGTACATCATTGTTAGCTGTTGTCCAAAGGGCTCTAGTTAAGCTAACGTTAACTTCTGGAGCTTAGCTTCATTAATTTATCTGTAATCGCAGAGATAACAAAAGTTGGCAAACATTATGCCGAATGATATGAAATACTGTAGCACCAAACTAACGGAGAGACACTCTTGGTAAAGGTGGTAAAAGGCCGTTATCCTTTTCTCATATTCTGAGCCAAAAACCTTAACTTCAGTGGCACTTTAACTTGTTGTCTTTGATGATAACGCCAACGAGATGCTGTTCACAAGCGTACACTGTGACCTGTAAATTTTGGTTTGTAATTTAAGCTTTTCATCGACCTTCTCAACAATAAAATGATGAATATAGCCTATCCCTCCAATGCGTAGTTTAGGCCCTTTTGGTTACTTCTCAATGACGCCTTATCATTATGTCCCCAAAAATCATCAATTGCCTCCTGCAAAATGCCGTGTACTGTGACACCTGCCATAGCACCGGTCACTGAATGTTGATAGTTTGTCCGAGTGAGTGGAGGGGGGCGTGGCTTAGCCATAGGTCAATTGCAAGCAAGTTGGATGAATGCAGAACAAGTCTTGATGATAGTCATTTGCACAAATGGGTGTAAACAAGCATGACCGATTATTTCAGAGCACCTCATTGGGTCTTATTGTAAAGATCTACCTCAAGCTTGGGATGGAAGCTGACATTGGCTTCTCTGTAGAGAGTGGTGACTTCTCTGTACAGTGCCAATAGAAGATAAACTGTTGTACACTGTGGTAAACATCGGCACCCCTGTGAAGAAAGAGAGCAGTGAGATACCCACATAAACGCACAGACATGCACAAAAGCAGTCCTGACTTTATGTTCGGTTACAAACAAGAAAGTGATGTAATGTTACCTTGCAAGTCTCATCCAGTCCATCCATTTTGCCCTCCATAACTCCCTTTGCCACAGCGTTTCTGATGGTCTTGTAGTCTTCCCCACACACAAGATACTGGTCTGTTGGGGTGGCTTCTTCACTCTGGGTGTAATGGAAATTGAACCACACTCTTTAGTTACTTGTAGCATTACATCTGGAGCACAACCTTGCCTTTATTAAAGCACTAACACTGAAAATCACAATGTGGGTAACTGAACCTTTTGCAGCACTTCTTCAGGGAAGAGCCAACGCATTTCTTCCTTTTTGAGGAGTTTCAGGACAAACTCCACTCCATGCTGGCTGCAGATCTTACGGATCACGTAGACACGATACCAGTCGTTTCTACTGCGCCTACACAAGTTCACCACACTGGTCAGGAAGGCTGTGGTTCCACTTTGACCAGCCTCTGCTGTGATTAAAAAGAGAGGAAGTACAGTTTAGTAAAATGAACGCATTCTAAAACCCAATCACACTTGGGGCCCATACACATGCTGCGTCTTTAATCGCCTGGAGAACGCAAGGTCGAGTGTTGGGTGCTACTCTGTGCCAACTTTCAAGAACACAGAGCCAGGCTGCGTCTGAGGTTGCTAAGCGACCCTAACAAGCACCATATCATTGTCTACTTACCTGAAATCCTGAGTGCAGAGCTGATTTTTTAACAAGCATTGTTCTCTAAGTGTGTAGGCCTAAAGTATTGTCTGTGGGACGGATGTAAAGCTCTGAGTAGCCCTGCTCTAAAATGATCAACTACTTCTCCATATTTACCACAGAATGATATTTACAGAAGAACAGAAATGTATCTGTCGGCAGTGATTGGTTGTTTCTTGTCACATGATGTGGAGTGCACTGCTGCATTCCAAAAGTTGAACCCTGTTTATTTCAGGGCGCAGACATCAGGCACTGAAAAACAGGCACCTGGGAACGCTTGCGAGTCACAGCATCGCTTTGGCTTTTGTGCGTATTGAAAACAATGGATTTGAGGGCAAAAAAAACGCAGCATGAGCACGACCCCTCATACTGTATTTCATCCAAATTACACACCTGCGGTTCTGAGTTTTTCCATAATGAGGCTTGCAGCCATATCCAGGTCCATACGCACTCTGGCCAACTGCTGTAGATACTCCACAGTGGCTGCTTCAGCAGACTGACCATGTGATTGCAGGTAGTCGGTCAGGAAGGCACTTTCATCCTGCAGACACACCTGCTGGTCTGCGACGGACCTGAACTGCAACCTTTCAAACATGGAGTCCTAGAGAAATGAAAAGTGAATATATCCGATGAAAACAAGTTGTATCAAAACTAACTGTGTCACGATTTCAATCCTAAATCAAAAATTGATCGAAATGAACTTTCAATTTCAGTCAAATCAAAAGCAGGATATGCCAGTCTCCCAGTATTCTTTTTCTTTTTTTCCTACTCGTACACATCCGAGGAAAAAATTAAAAACAAGCAACACTTCCAAAATGACACAGTCTAGCTTACTGGTAGCCTGAAGCTGCACTTTTTGAGACAGCATGGCCACTGCTAGAGTCAGTAATGAAGGACAAACAACAGAACTGGACAATTCTCCTGCTTCCCTGAAGTCACCACTGTGGCAACATTTTGCTTTTGCCATGTAAACAATGAACACATTGTTGACAAAAAACTATATAGACTACAAACAAACAGTGTGTAGTCTATAGTATCCATGCGGGTACCATACGCTGCCTCGGGCAACAAAAGGATCAACAGAAGGAAGAAGGATCTAGTGGCAGGTGAGGAAACTTCTTTTTGTTTTTTGTGTCTTATATTAATCAATTAAATATGACCATAAGGCCTCAGTGTGGTAGATTCCAAAACATATATGGCAGTATAAACACTTGATACCACTTTTTAAAGAACAATGTAGAAATGACTGTTCTGTTGTCAGGGCATAAAACCCTACTGATCTTTACGAATCAAGACTTCATAGTCTAAAAATGGCATAGCTATCAGTGCTGGAAAAAAATTAATAAATAAAATAAAATGGTGACTGTGAAATCAAAAACATTCAAATATACAGCAGAGTCAGAATTCATGTGTACCTCCAGGCAGTTGATGTACAACAAGTAGAGCTCAGTTTTGTCCGTCTCCTCCAAGATGTTGCTCTGCTCAACTGCCACCAGATGCTGCTGCAGGTACTCTTTCACCTCATCAAAGCTTTAGAAAGAGTACAATTTATACTACAATGAGAAACACAGCTAAAAATGTTTGAGGCATACACAAGTAGGCTTTACATGTAAACACAGCACCTCACCTGTACTTCAGCAGGAGTTTGAGCACTACTGACCGGACCACTGGATTTTTATCCACAGAGTCATCAAACGGAGAGAGCACCTTTGTCAACACTTGTCGATTAACTGGTAAATATACAAAAGAAAGGGTTCATCAGAGGTGACAGCACACGTATAAATAGAGACATGACTGTGCACACACACACAAACACACACACACACAAGTGAATTGGGTAAGAGCAGCCTCATACTTCGGAGAATGGGAACAGTGTTGGCCTCGACCATGAGGAAGGACAGCAGATGGACAATGACAGCCGAAGAGGGGGGAGAGTTGTCCTTGAAGCACACAGTGGACACCAGTTCGATGAAGAAAGCGTTGCACTGCTTCCTGAACTGAGCGTGTCGGTTGACGAGAACCCTGCACAAAACAAGAGACACAAGATAAATGATATGCGCCTTTTATGAGGAACACAAATGTAAACAATCCGGTTGTTGTATCGACATGCAGTTACAAACCTTATGGCATCTGAAGGAAACATGGGGAAGTCATCGTTAACTGGCTGCATGCACAGGGGACAGTACATCTGACCGGGGATCAGCCACTGTTTGATACAGGCTACACAATAGATGTGGTCACATGGCAGGCAGAGCGGGTCTTGTGGGTCTCCCATACACACTGGGCATAGTTTAAGCCCAAACCTGGAAAAAACATACACGCAAGGTGAAGACACAGGGTCGAGGGAAATTACAGTAGAAGAGATTTTGATAAAAATTTCTTACTTGAAGATGCGTTCAACGGCTCCATCTTTGCAAGCTTTGAGCAAACCGATTACTGCCTCAAATGACCGCTGAGTTTTGAGGTCTGAATTCTTTTCCAGTATCTTGATAAGAGAGCAGACGCAATACGTTTCTTTATTGATGGCGGCATTATTGTGGATATACTTTAAAGGTAATTTATTGAAGTCGTGAAGATTCAGATTAGTACAAAGAACCAAGACCAACCTGGCAAAGACCTCTTGTATGCTCCAAAAGTAAAGGCGTCAGCTTCTTCTCTAATTGCTCAATGCCCAACAGCATGTGTTCCACAAAGAGCGAGAGGGTGAATATGCGATTCCATCCAGCTCTAAAAGCAAAGAAACACGAACAAATAATCATCCAAGTCAATGCAGCTAAAGTAGTTTCTAAAGACAACCTAACAACCTCAGCATAAACAGTACAACAGTCCCACCTGGACCATTTCAATATATTTAGTAAAGCTTGACTTACTGGACTCTGCAGACCATCGCCTTGCTCCTCTCGCCATAGCGTCTCACACTGTCTTCTGAGCAGATCAGCTCAATGGGAACCTGGAGTTTTTTGACCTGTCTGAGCCAGGCTTGTCGTTGGGCATCTGTGTTAAGGAGCTGAGGCTCCAGGTACTCCACACATGCAAAGGCAGCGTACACATCGAGTACCTTGGATAGAGGGATAATATGATCACTACACATCACAGGCCAATAAAAGGGCAACATAAATATCAGATATTATCAAACATAATTTACTCTTAAAGTTATACTATGCAGGATTGTCGGTTACAGTTGTAAACACGTTCACCAGCAAAAGTGAAAATAAAAGCCCCAGATTCACTAATTTGGTGTTTCGTCTCACAAAAATTGAAGTGCTATTTAAAATACTTAAACAGTCTTTACAGACTCACCAGTTCAACCCCGTCTCTTGTATGATGATTCTGCAAGAGGTGCTGGGTGACTTGGGGCTCGATGCAGATCATCCTGGAGAGGTTCTGCAGTCTGTTCTTGAACTCGTGATAAGCAGCATGGACCCATGCAAGCGATGTCGGCATATCTGTAGCATTGAGCTGCAATCGCAGCTCATTGACGCAACAATTCAGAGCGCCAGAGAGGAGCTAGCAAAGCAATAATGTGCGTTAGTATATGCGCGCACACACCATCACACAGATGCAGCATTACAATCAAAGTATGATTTAAGGATTACAGGAAAACAACCTGCAGATCTTCCTGACAAGTCACATTCATTGTCATGTAGATGAAGTCTTGAAGGTAGCGCTGGAAAAACTCTGTCTGGATCTCTTGGTCTGCTTTCATAATGTATGGTCCCAGTGGTGTCTTCCAAAAGAACTCATCAAACTCTTGTTGAGTGTGGCCTAACAGACATATACATTTAATTCACACAACAACATCATGGTGGTGACATGCCAGTTATGAGAGTAACTGATGACAGGCTATTACCTTCATGCTGAAGCGCATGAACCCAGAGTTCTTCCAGGTAGTCCTTGATCCTCCAGCTGAAGGGCATGCTGCAGCTTACATTCCTGTTTTGGGCAATGTAGTTCTGTACAAGGACTGTTCTTGTCTCTGAGCTGTGAAAAGAGAAAATGTTAAAAACATTAAAATGGGCAAAAGGTAATAGTGTTAAATCTTACCAAGTACAGGAATTTGGCGTCCTTTATGTAAAGTGCCACTAACTTGTGGTCCATCGTTAGGCGTGGGATTTTCAGCAGCTTAACATTGCCAAAGATGTCTAACCACAGCCTCTTGACATGTTCACCACAGTTTCTATCAAGCAGGATGTCCAAGTTCTGGTCACGGTCAATGACTGAAACCAGTTGTGCCAAGAGGGGGATCACCACAGCCTGAACACGCTTCCATAAGGTGTGCCTGTCATGAACCCCAAAAAGTTGACAGTGCTGTTCAAAAAAAAGGAACATAAAGGCAAACATAGAAATGTTTTATTCTGCAGCTGACACACTCACCTAAAGGTACCTCCTTCTTGCAAGGCATCAATGTTTGAGGCCTCCTTCATGACCCAGTTGCTTTTGATGGCTGAGAAGGCGTTGCCCTCGTTAGTCGCCAGCAATGAGTGAAGATGCCTCTTCACAGTTTGTAGAAATTCACCTGACAAGAGTTAGCGAACATGTTGAGCACTGCCCTGCTGTATCAACAACAAAAACACTGGGGAAAAAAAGTTGGCCGTTAGTACCTTTTATTTCGTCACTGTCATTGAGGAGCATCAGCAGAATCTCAACTCTCCGAGTACTGCGGAAGCCGCTTTCCATCTGGTCCCTGAGCATGCCTACTGCAATCTGCACACAGCTCCGCACCAGTGCTGTAGTGTCCACAACGTTATCCCAGCCCTGCAGCAGGAGGATATGCTGGTTAAAAACTAGTGTCACAAGCAGCACAGAATAAAAAATATGTCATTGTTGTCAGAAAAAAATAGTGTGGAGGGAACAATTTTGTCTAAAATTGATGCACATATGGTGAATGTTATGAATGTAGATTTTAAATTTAAGGCTGAAAAGTGTCTGAAATAAATGTCTGTTCTCACATTTTCCTCTGCCTCTGCCTCCTCCTGCTCATTCTCAGTGTACATGTCATCCACCTCCATGGCTGAAGAAAAAAAAAACATTTACTGCCACACATTTTTTATGTAGACAAAATTGTTATTTGCTGTCAATTATTTATCGATTAATTACCATCAGGCCGACTCGTCTTTGCTTCAAACATTTGACAGATTGTCATGTTTTGCAAGGCTTTGATGTCTGAAACGATGTCTTTTGACCGTCTGAGGTCATCAATGTGAACTGATTTCCAAGGGCCTGTAAATATCAACATGTCTCAGATTATTCTTCAAACAATTTGATAAAACATTTAAAATAAAGTCGGTGTAGTCTTACCTCCATGAAAGCCGATGTAGGAGGTCCCACCTTCCATTCTTGGCAGTCTGGTGATAAAGTACACAAACACCCTGCTTCCCATGCTCTCCTGAGTTAGCTTGTTGATTTCATTGATGGATGAATACCTACAAACGAACAACAAAATTCAATATGGCGAAAGCACACAGCGGTGCATTACCCAGCAGAGAGAAATTGTTGAACCTACTTTGCAGATGCAATGAGATTTGCACTATGAGAGGCTTCATCAAAATCACTCTGAATGAGGAGAATCTTGTTGCAGGGTCCAATGTTGCGGTTTCCATTTTCAGCAGTGAGGACGTTTCTACAAGAAAACAGGGATTTGATCTTTAGACTGAGATCATACAAAAAGATGACAGGAGTCATTCTTGCTGATGATTATTCCATGCTTTTGAACATAAAGTATATCCTTACAAACTTACTTTAACAATACAGATGTCAAAATATTTGAAAGGCTCTAAAACAACCGGAATAAACAGTAAATTTAATATAATTGCCCTCTGAAAAGACAGTTTAAGTCTGTGGCTCTTTAATATTGTTTCTTACAACCAAACATACCAGTATTCACATGAAAAGTAATTATTTTTATTGCAATATTTATTGTAGTTTACTGTGTGAGCATACCGACATATTTCAGGTTAATGGGCCATAACTGATATCAAGTGTAAAACAATACATTGCCCCACATATTAACAAACCTGATCTTCTTCAGGAAGGAGTGCTCTGTGTCAAACTGCTGGAGTGAGAGAAGCTCAACACTATGCAGCACTTGCTCCAAAGGTTCCAGGTCAGATGCTGTCAGGAGTCTGGAGAATGTTGTCACCTATGGTTTAAAATTACAATCAGGGCTTTAAAACCTAATACTAACAGCTTCAGAATATATTTGAAAGTAGTATTGTATCACACGCTTAAAGTTACCTCTGTGAAGGAGGAGTAGCAATGGACTTCCTGCCTTGTGTGAGCAAGAATGAAGTCCGCCAAGCAGCTGTTATTTTGCTCTTCAAAGTAGACCCTGGCCAGGTTTTCACTCTCCACTTTGGGAAGGCCTGTGCAGTCCAACCGCACAACTGAGTCTGGTGTGGCGCATCTGAGCAGAATGAGTTTAGCCTCATCCAGTATTCTCCTCTCAGGATCTGAGATGTCCAAACTGTCCTTCTGCTTCTCTATTACTTGAAGTACCACAGAAGCACAAGTGTCCGAGTGGTAGCCAATGAAGACGTCTGGTGGCTGGTACTTGTAAACCTGAGCTGCTGCTGCTGCGTGTTGACTGCTGAGAGACACAAAAATCCTCAACCATTTCTCCAATTCATCCACCAACCTCTTCTGCTCAGTTTTAAGGACAGTGTGGATGTCCAGGTAGTGTTTCTCCAGCCTGTTGATGAGAGGTATTGGGAACTGTTTGTACACCACCTCTCTTTCCTCAATGACAATTAGTCGGAAGTCTTTGTGCACCCGGCATTTCACACGGTGGGTTCCCAGTCCAAGGTCAACATATTTCTGTCCTCCCAAGCAGACATAGTATTGGTTGAGGGCATCGTAGAGACTTTCATAGAGGTTCTGCAAGTTTAGCAGCACAACTGTTTGACCTGTATCCATGCAGATCTTTACTCTGTTGATGTTGCGGCAGATTTGGGTATACTCTTGGTCTTTTGGGAAACTGGATCCAAAGATTATCTCTGGCTGACCACTTTCTGAAAAGAAGACTTGCTGCAGGATCTGTAGGGCTGCGTAGTTTTTTGTTAGCACCAGCAGGTACCTACATTCTTCTTCTTGTCCAACTGCCTGAATGTTTTCTCTCACAAACTCAATGGCACTGATGTTCTCCAGGTTGGGTGCAATCTGCAGTCGTTTGGTAAAGACCTTAACTGCGTCCACTTCATCCCTGCCACTGAAATTTCTCAGCACAGCCTTCACGGTTTCCTCTGCAGTGGGCCGTCTTTGAGAAGCTTTTGCCACTGCAAAAATCATCTTAATCAAGCTGTAATAGTCACGAAGGCCAAAAAAGCCTTTGCCTTGTTTGCGGCAGATGTTCAAGTAGGCTCTTGCAAAGGGTTGGAAGAAATCCCTGACCTTCTCCAAAACCATTGCATCAGATTTGCATATGCCTTTAGCACTCTCAATGAGTTCCCTCTCATCAGGGTCACCACGGGAGACAAAAATGCCTCTATTCATCTTTGCAGGGTCTAAAGCCCAGTTTGAGATGCCAATGAATCCAACCTTCTTGTGTGGTAGTGGCTCATCATCAATGCATCCCTCTTCTAGCAGTGGATGAAGAGTTTTCAGTGGCATCTTTGGAGAGTCCTCAGCCAGCCCAATCTCATCAAGAACCACAACTGAAATGTACTCATCCAGGTTCTTTCCTTCCTGGAAGCGTCCGCATTGCTTGAACGTATTAATGATGCCTTCTGGGGTTGAGTGAGGGCTACACTGGAAGGACACCAAATGGACTTGTTTGAGCTTTTTGTAGAGGTCCGAATGAGCAGCTTGGCCCTGCATTGCATCTGCCACCAGAGTTTTAGACAGGGATTTGGAACTTCCAGGTTTTCCAACTAAGAAGAGAGGGATTCTTAGCTCAATGCAGAGAACCATCATGAAGACATTCTCTTTGAGGGCACTGTTTCTTGCAATAGTATCCCCCATTGGCACGCCACTAAGAAGTAAATCTTGCATGAGTGTGATTTCCTGCATCACCTTCATTGGGCTGTATAGTGGTGGTAGGCTTTTGCTGATTTTCTGTCTGTATTTATCCTTATTTTCCAGACAGGCATGGTAGCACACTCCTATGGCCATGACCAGAGACCAGAGCACAGGATCTCTGACCTCAGGTTGTCTGTGATGCCGTTCACTCTTCTCTGCATTTTGATTACTCTCAAAGTCTTCAAGCTCTGCAAAGAACATGACGTGGTTGTTGTAGAACCAAACAAAAGACTGCATGCAACGTTCGACATCTCTCAGGCTGACAAAGCTACATTCATCTTTTCTTGTCCGCATGTACTTCTGTGAAGCTGAGAGGACATCAGTGATCCACTTGATGTAACTTTGATCAATTGCTCTGTTTTCAACCACTCTTTGTACAATCTGCTGGATGTATATTTTCTCTGTGTGATCGTTGAGCTGTCCAAAGTCCCACACGAGAGGGATCATGCTTGGTGGTAATGCTTGAACTCTGTAGACCAACTGCCGGAGAGGGATAGACCCAAGCTTTTCATCTGTCTCTTCAGCTCGAACTCTGTATCCAAGGCCAGAAGCTTCTAACCTCTCAATCATCGTATCTGTGTGTTTTCGGTAAGGGTTGCATGCTGCGATAATCTGCAACCCACAGTTGGGTGTCAAAGGTTCGCCCTTGACTGTCTTGTCACAGAGAACCTCCTTAATACTGCTGATGGCCTCAGTAGTGTTGGCCTCATCAAAGAAAAGAACAGAGTCAAATCCGTAGTCTTGCTTGTTAATAGCAGCTATGTCTTCTGCTTCTCTGACTTTGGTGTAAATCATCTCCGAAGTTGTCCCTCCATGTACCTTGACCAGTTTCATGTTCTCGGTAGCCACTCCACTCCTCCGCAACTCACAAAGGAATTTGATGAGTCTCGTCTTGCCACACCCTGTCTCTCCCATGATAATGACAGGGATGCCACACCTGAACCGCATATGGATTGCCAGCATCTTCAGTATGTTGTCAGTTGTAAGCTCATATGTTTCATCGGGGTCAAGAGGCCACTGGATTCCAAGAACATTGCAGATTCGCTCTATTTTCTCCCCTCTTGGAAGGCGATCAAAGTCGATGTTGAAAGGTACTTTCTGTAGGTTTAGGCCTTCATACAACGCCCTTGTCATGACATTCTTTTTTATTACCCTTCCAGAGGTGGGCTCAATGGCATCAACAAAGTTCTGTTCATTGGGCTGAAGATGGAAACCAATGAAGGTCATGGACACATGGTCATCATTAAAGAAGATGTATGGATGTGGTTCTGTTTCCCATCTCTTTCTGATCAGGAAAGGAGCCAGGTCTTCATCCCGGACATTAGTCAGGTCCATCTGCAGCCTGCCAGGACTCTGGTCTGAGATGCTGAGTGATGGAGTGGCAAAGTCCTTTGCCATCAGAATCATGAAGTCCACCACAAAGGTTTTGAATCCAGCAAGCGTGTCTCCAGTGAAAGTGGCATCACAAAAAACGGATGTCTCACAGTCTTGCAACTGGTGGTTCAGAAACCATGCAAAATTTCTCAGTTCTGCCCAGGATGGATCCATAATGCCACAGAACATGAGAAACATCTGAAGACATTCAACATGAGACCCTTCAACCCCCTGATATGTGAACACATCAAGATCAATGTGGTTATGAAATCGTGTAAGATACTGGTATGGCCGCTGAAAGGCTGCACTCCTGAATTCTTTATCATCCATCAGTGGGTCATCAGTGCTTACAATGGTAGGATTTTCTTGCTTGCTCATCTCTAGCATTAGCACCTCTTTAGGTGGTCGGCAGAAAATATTTGGAAACACTTCTGTGAACGTGCTGTTCACATTATGAGCCTATGCAGAAAACAAATATAAAAACAACAGAGTTAGCAACAGTTTAAAATCCAATTACAAATGATCAGCATCAGTGCCAAACTAACTTGTAAACTCATACCTGTCGTGGAGTATTTCTGGTTGACATGATAGTTGGCTCTAAAATTTCAATGACATACAAGTGCTTGTCACTGCACTTCCATGTCTTTCCCTCAGAGTCCATCAAATAACGCAGAATCAGCAACTTGAAAAGAAACTCATGGAGACCTCTCTGCACCTTTTCAATCATATAAAACAGTCTATTAACACCATATGCAAGCTGTCAAGACAAATCCTAATAATAAGGCTATATTGCCTTAAGCTAAGCATTAACTTGAGACTCATTATTACCGATGATGTGATGTCAAAGTGGAACATCATGAGTTCTTTCCTCTTGGGGGTGTTCAACAGAGACTGGACGATAACATTCTCATCAACATTTGGTTCGATCAAGGGGATGCATTTCATCATTGAAGGCTTTTTGGTTGAGTGCTTCAGTTTTTCATACAGCCTCTTGATGTAGAGAGATTTACCTGCAAATTAAAAAAGGTTATTATCATTCATATCAATCATTTTAGGAGTGAAATATTAATCAATTTCAGATATTCGAGTACTGTATATAAATACTAACCAACACCAGCCCTTTTGGATGAGATGACACCAACGCACAGTCGGTCTTTGAATACAGCTGCTGCACTGTCTTGATCTGCTGGGACAACATAGTGGTTGTGAAGGTACCTCTGGATCCTCGCCAGTGGCTCCTGTGGGACCATGTGCAATCTGTACTGGCTGAAGGCTGAAGGAAGGTAGGCATGTTCTCTTTCCGAGCTGCAGATGATAACAAGTCTGTAGTCTTTCCTGCTCCGCATTTTCATTCGCTGAAAAAAGTTCTCAACTTTGGAGCTCACATCATAAGAGAGCAGATCTCCATACAGTAGAAAGTATATCTTCTGCCCCCTGTAGCCTGTGCTCAGACAGCGTCTGAGGAATAGCTCCACTTGTTCGTATGGTGTTGATGAGTTGCACAGGAGGACTTCGTCATAGGTGGGAAGTGTCTCGTCTTTGCTACTCATGTAAATGGAGATGCAAGATGTCAAGACCTCATCGTGCGGGCAAACAATGAGGTTTGGATTTCCTATGGCCAGGCCTTGAGGTAGCTTCCTCTGTATGAAATCCCCAGTGTTGTCATCAGAAATGTCCTCTTCGCTTTCGCCTCTGTCACTCTCATCTTCTTTGTTGGCCAGTATTTCCAGCAGTCTTCCAAGACTTCTTATATCGAGGATGTGGGGAAGATAGTTCTTCATGTCTTTCATATAGGCATTCCATATCAGATCAAATTTCTGCAAACCATTTGCTTGTTCCACAAGACTTAGCAGAGAGTCCAACTCACTGTCGAAGTCTGCACCTCCAAGCTCACTTCTTGGCACCGTAACAAAAGTCTGAAACTCAATGTCTTCATTTTGCTCTTGTGGTTTAGTGAGGATCTCATACTGGAGTGCATGCCAGACCTGCCTCAAGTCTGAGGCTGTGCAATTTGGCTTGACAAAGGAGAGCATCATGAGAACTTGGTCCTCCACATTGATCACATTTCGCTGAGTCAGCTTGCTGCAGAGGTAGACAATCTGTTCAGCCGTATAGTAGTTCAGATAGTAATGCTGGGACCTCTGTTTGTCCACAAAATTCATCCAATAGTCCAGGCATTTCTCCATTTTCCTGCAAAGGTCAGGAAGCTGCTCCTCTATGCTGCCCTCCGCAATGACAACACCAACAACACTGTCTAGGTTGAAGTCCATCATAATACTGGGTTCTTCGCTGCTTAAACAGCAGTGGATTTGTGCTTCCCAGTGTCTGAACAGAGGATTCCCAGCATTGTAGAGGGCAATGAATGCCTCAGCTAGCCTTTGAACACTGGCAAAAACCTGAAAAATAAACAGTCAGATGCAACTATGAATCCTTTTTTGTATGTACGGTGTAATCAAGAGGCATACTGTGTATCCTTTAGCTGTCAAACACTGAGCTATTGAGGATGAGTCCATATTCATTGCATTTCATGCATTAAGTACACTCATCACTGTTAATGATAATGGATATTAGTTCTCTACCTTTCAAATGTGATAGAAAATACTTTTTCACCATAAATTGTTATTCCTTTTATTTTGGTATTTTATTGTTATTTTAATTACTTTTATCTCTGTGGTTTTTGTCAAGGTTTACATAGTACATACAGAGTAGTAGTAGTAGTTGTAGTAGTAGTAGTAGTAGATGCATTGGTAGAATTAGGAGTAGCATTTTGGATTCTTTGCTAAACGAAGCAACCTATGTTAATTGTATAAAAGGGAAACATTTCAGTATACCTCTGCAAAGTGATCAACTTCATTCTGCCCTTGATCCCCTTTCCCAGACATGAGCATGAGCTTGTTCTGCAGCTCCCGCAGGTCCTCCAGAGAATAGCCACGCATCTGCTGACCTTCATCATGCTCCTCTGGAATCTGCAGCTTCAGGGCGGTGTCAAGGTTCAGCTGGATTGAGAAACAGAAATACACTTTCACTGTAAGAACTCTGTTCTCAGAGACAACCTCTGTGCTGCCTGGATATAGGGATGCCATCATGTTGGATGTTGTTATTTACCTTTTTCACATTTTGTGCACTGATCAGGTAGATCCCCTTATTGTTGATGGCTGATGCTAAAGAGAGAGATGACAGCTCCACTGACCCATGACTGTCCTTCACGGTTTTCAGCCATTCCAAATGGCGTGCACTGTCCCGCTAATAAAAAGATGATTATTAACTGTGATTTAAATATTCATTTTCTATTTCATACTGTCAGGGTCAACCCAAGCATCCTGGTTGTTTGGAAGTTTGAGGTTGTAAGCTTTAGTGTTTTTAGTAAAAGTATAAGCAAGGTGTCCTCTTACCAGTTTTTTTGGTAGATTGTTGTCATTCTCCAAAGCTCTCCAGAGCTTCTTGAGCACCTCTTTGAAGACAGGAAAACCAGAGTCTGGTTTGAGCTCATATAGCATTGAAGAGTAGCCGAGGACAGCATCATGGAAGCAAGCGACACGATCCACGTCCATGTCATTCTCTCCCGCCGAGATGGAAGCCAGGTCAACGAACACCTTCAACTCATTGATATCTTTAACAAAAATAAAAATAGAATTAGTAAGTTGTCTGAGTGAGCCTTTAAATAAAGTACTACTGTGACTACAGCAGATAACTATTCTTACCTTCAAGTGCATCTTTTACCCATTTTACAAAGTGTCCTCTGAGTCCCAGCTCCTGTAGGCACAGTCTGCGAGGTTCGGTGATGTCAACCAGGACCATCTTTGCCTGCATCAAGTCATTGTCAATCCGGTTGAGCTGCTCTCTCTGAAAGTCAGCATGATTCTGAAAGGAGAAGGGAGTCAAAAGTTCAACACAATGCAGTAACTTAATGCACCTATGGTACGCACAGGGAGCTTTTCAGCCTGATGAGTTTTCACATAATGTGCAATGTTCCTGGATGCAATATACTTGGTTTAAAACACTGCCACTTACAGCTTCTGTGAGTGTCTCCAGAACCCTGAAGTCCCCTTGAAGGCGAAGAGTCTCTTTGACCATCATGATAATCTGAGCTGAAGCCACAGCTAGATGAAGTTCGTGATACTGCTCGATCTGTTGAACCCTGCTGTAGATCCACTGTTTGTCGATGGATTTATCAACTCTGCACATGATGTCCAGGTCCTGTGCAAGCTCATCGTACTTGCCCTTGTAATCTCTGAAGAGCTGATTTACCTCCTCAAGCCTTATGCTGCCATTCTTCAGACAAGTGTAGATGTCTTTGTAATCAGCAAAGCAAGGCTCGAAAATGTTATCATGTATCATTTCTGGTGTTGCCATAATGTCCACTACTTCATGTTGGTCAGGGTTCTCATCTTCCATTTCTTCAGTGGCCACGCATTTGGCTTGTTTCTCCCAACACACTTTGAATATATAGCTGTCTCTGAAGGTGAACAGGATCTCTGCCATGTGTCTGGTATCTTCACTCAGATCAAAGTAGGTGACAATACCAGCCATGGGTGAAGGAACTCGGTCAAATGGATGAACCTCCATGAAACAGTTCAGGGGTTTAATCTCGACGTTGACCTGCTGTCTCTCTTCCATGTCGGCAACGTCAACTGTCATAAAAATAAAGCATGTGTTAAATTATGTATGCAGGCGTTTAATTGCATGATCAAAACAAACTGATGGATTATCCACAATACCTGTCATGTGTTCCTCAAGTTTGTGGCTCATTGTTAAGAAGACGTCCACAAGCTCCTTCTCATGGTACACAGCTTTCACTTCATCCTCTCTGCACTGTAACAGCCTCCTCATTTTGGCATTATCCTTGTATTGTTCTTTCTCAGAGAGGCAATCTGTTAATTTCAAATCACACACACAAGTCAATATTTCGAATAGGCCAGTGCACGTCATAATATGAAATGCACACATTCTGGGGTTATTCATTATTAAATGTTGAACAAATTTCTTTGGAAATATGTAATAACAAGCAGACTGTTATTACCAATCTTCAGCAGATCTAAGAAGGCATTTCTCTTGTCCAAAATGATATTGAGCAGGCTGATCTTAATGCCTCCGTGGACCAGTTGATTGTTGATGGCTGTGAATGATGATATGGCTATAGCAATTCTGTCCCTGGCATCTTGAGAGAGCTTCTCAATCAGCTTTTCGTCTGCGCCTGCGATGACAGAAATTACATGTCAGTGTTTTTTATCCAAAACCACATCAATAATTACAATTCTTCTGCTTCTGCCATGAAGTCATAAACTGAGGCCTGGTTTTCTACCTTCCTAACCTTTCCCAAGGACATACCATGCAGTTGGAAAATGTCTTTGGCGGCAGTCCAGGAGAGGAGGTGCTGAAGGACCAATTCTTCATCTTCCTGGAAATTTCCTTGACGATCCTTCGGCCAGGATTTTTGGATAATCGCTGAGATGAGTTTCCCGAACTTCCAGTTTATCTTGAACCTCTCAAACAGCCTTCCCTCAGACTTAGTCTGCAATGAGGTAAAACAGCCATAAACATTATTGTGTGTATTTTAAATAGATGCAGAGAATCTAGTATACAGTTGTTATAGTTCTCAAATATGGCTAGGACTGTTATAACCTATGCCATCAATACATGTAAATGTATTTACATGATTTGCATAGTTCAAAAGTGAATGAGAACACTTCATACCTGGCACAAAGATGTAACGGCCTCAAGAGCACACCTCTCAATACTAGCAGCAATGTGTGGATGGGATTCACTGAGTTCCTCTATCTTTGTGCAGTAGAATTCAATTTGATCCACAGCAGACTCCTAAAACCAGACAGACACATGAGATATGTCTAACATGTTGTAGTTAAAACAAAACAGAACAGGGGTCTGCAACAGATGTATCACATACCTGTCTGTACTTGCCCTCAAAATCCATTATGAATGTCTGTCTCCATTTTTTTGTGCACTCTTCATCTTTGAATTGCACAGAAATGATGTTGTTCCAAATCTGTAAAAGGCAATCACCAAATTAACCATTTTCCAGCTTTCTTTACCAATGAGCATCTGTATGTACATTTTGTGTTGTATTTCCAAACGTAACAAAGCTGCTCACCTCAATTTCTGCTTTGGTCTCATCTCGTAACATGGATGACCAACCCTTTTTGAGCAGACTCTGTCTGAAGGACACACTGATCCAGTCTCTCATAATGACCATCGCCTGAGAGATCACCAAGTCTTTTGCATTTCGTTCTTCTCTTTCCCCTTCTGGAGTCTCCTAAATGAGAATTATCAGTACAGTATTAGAGAAAAGCAAGACTTAATTCTGTCTGAAATGCCACCAGCTTGCTTCACTTTACATACCTGTTGTTTGTTACAGTGAACAAAATCTGACACTGACGCAACCAGATTCATGCACGCTACAGGAATATCAGTGTAGTTCTGGGTATAGGATGCCTGTTTGACTCCTTTGCAGAGCTTCTCTAACAGTCTCACTGCTGTTGCAAGGCATTCTCTCCTATAAACCTCGGTAAAAGGACTACAATAAAACAAGAGAGAATGGAGGATTAAAAGTATATGTCATCCACAAAATGCTACCTTGAATTCATTAAGAAAACTTTGTTTTTCTTGCATGCCTCCACTGTGAACGAAGAATCCAACAAAGGCGAACATTCTTCATGAATTAACGTCATTGGGGACCACAATTTGTCAGCAGCAAAATTATATCAAAACATCCGTTTACAAACTCTCATACAACTCGTGCAATATAATCCAAGTCTCATTTATCAAGTTGTATGCTCAGTACTTCCCAAACACATGCATTTTCACTCAAACGTACAACATAAAATACTTAAACGCAGTCCCCGTTTACCTCAATTCATGAAGAATGTTCGTGTTTTTTTGGATTTCTCATTAAACGTTGAGGCATGAGAGAATATTTAAGGTAACAGGCAGTGAGTAACTGATGTAGAAATGACGGTTTGCCAGTGAAGTATTGATGTCGGTGAAGATTCTCAGTCATCCAGGTCATGGTAATCGTAAGCGCTATATCGTAGGCAACTGGACTTGCTTGTGTTTCTTGAAGACGTTTCGCCTCTCATCCAAGAAACTTCTTCAATTCAGCTTCTTGGATGAGAGGCGCAATGTCTTCAAGAAACACAAGCAAGTCCAGTTGCCTATGATATAGCACTTACAATTAATTTATGATAAACGTGTCTAACTCAAATTACCTGTATTTTTCTTCAATGAGGTTTTCTTGGATATGTGAGAGAATGGCAGACACTGTCTGTGAAGCAAGATTCAAGAGCATTAATTTGTTTAATGTTCTGTACTATATGCATGAAATGTATTATTTTCAACTACTGTTTCCACTTCACCTGGACATTACTGCTTGTAATATCCGCAGGAGTCTTATAAGTGAAAACTTGAAGTATGTCCAAAAGCTCAGTGTTGATGTTGATGATACACTCCATAAGTTCGTCAAGTGGCATCAAGTACGAACAGGATCGCACCAAAAGTGCGTCCACGTTCATCAAGTGACTGTGGCTTTTCATCAGATTCACCAGTGCCCTGAAGAACAGAAGAGACAGAAGAGCAAGTGAACATATGTAATATCCATCTAATGGAAGATCTTTGTGTAAGCTGTACTTTGGCAAAGGTAGGGGGACTCTTACTTCCTCTCTTGACTGCTCATGTGTGCTGAGGTGTTCATTTCCAGGCCTTGCAAACCTGCCCAGGATAGGCCGTACTTTAAGTTTCCAAAGGACAGCATTTCAAAGGGCTTTACGTTGCCTCTGAGCAGGTGGAGGAGCGGTAGGACCAGAATCCATCGGGGCATTCCTGTTGTTTTTACAGCGTTTATCAGAGACGCCAAGTGAACTGTCAGACTGCAACAAAGAAAATTTGATGAGCATCTGAAAAGAAAATGACTTATTAAAGCAAATAAAACAGTAGGTTATTCATGAGTAGCTTAGGTACCTACTTTTTAAGAATAGAGACATCTTGTGTAAAATCTGCCCAGTACTGAAGGAACTCATCTTTGTTTAGGCTGGGCAGGCACAGTGCAGTGCAGAGCCGATGGAGTTCACCTTCATTCAGTCTGATACCATGGTGTTTGCATACATAGAGCATGATAACAGCAGCTCTCATGGAATCCTGGATAAAGAGCATCTTGCCATCTCCATCTTTCACCAACTGAGGAATCACGTTCATCAGCATGAATTCCTTTATCATCCTCCTCACCTAAGATATGAAACCAAAGAAACAGTAGTCATTAGAGATGGTGTTTCTACTACTTCTGTGTGACGTTTACAAAGTTACAAACTTACATCCTCTTTCCCATAGTCTAAGGAGGTCCATTTCTTATGGGTGTCCTCATACACAAAAGGGTCGCCATAAATCTGAAAGAACTGGTCCAGCTGGATGAGGAAACTTTTGAAATTTGTGGCGGTCCAGGTCCTGAGAAGATCAAATATGGTCTCCAGCATCACTTTCCCTGCGATCTCTCTGCCTTGAATCAGATCCCTCCTTTGATCAGGCCAGATCTTTTCTTTGATGCGTTTGAGCATGTTCTTGGATGGCTCGGCACAGATGATGTCATCATACTGATGCCAGTCCCCTTTTACAAAATGAAAACATAACTAATATGAGATTTCAGAATAATGATCAGAATATGGTTGCTACCATGCAGGAAGTTATGTAATTGCAAATGGCCTCAGAGATGGCTGCATTTACCTTCTTCATTGAGGAGGTGGGACTTCACAAACAAGCATCTGTTAGTTGGGTGTTGTGAAGCATCCAGCTTGTATATGAACTCATAATCATATTTGCCCTTTTTTTTGTTATAGACAATGTATTTGTACGGTATCGACACAGATACAGCTTTACTTTTGAGTGTCAGCAGACTGCCCTCCACCAGAAAGCCGTGTTCTCCAAGATCCCTGCGTGAAAAGGGAAAGAAAGTCAAATGTACATGTTGTTTAGTCAGTCAGATAGGACATTAAAGATTCAGTGTGTAGGATTTAACAGGACATACTGTCAGAAATGAAATATATTATAGTAAGAATGTTTTCTTTAGTGTATAATCGTCTGATAATAAGAACTGTCAAATTTTTGTTACCTTAGAATGAGCCATTTATGTCTACATAGGGAGCAGGTCCTTGTCTACAGAGATCTTCAAGTTGCATTGCCATGTTACAATGGTCCCGGATGAACCAAACACTGGCTCTAGATAGAGCCATTAGTGTTTTTGCGTTGGCTACTGTAGTCAGAAGCCGCTCCATAACGAGAGCACCGGAAAAACACTGATTTTTTTTTAACATGAAACTGCTTTATTTTAGTGTTTTTACTGGTTTAAATCACCAGGTCCGCTTGTTTAGAGGAGGAAGAGATCTCTGCAGAAAATTTGGCTCCTGGTAAAAACTTCCTAAACGTGGATCTGAACGGTATCAGAGTAGATGAGCACACATTAGCAGGTGCTGGGCCAACAGCCCGTCTCCAATATACCAAAGAGCATCTGAGAAACAATGATTTGTAACGCAAAACTGCTTTATTCAGCATTTCTACCAATTTAAATCACCAGGTCCATTTGTTATGCAGAGGAGGAGACCTCTGCAGATAATACAGCTCATGGTAAAAATCTCTCGAACAAAGAACACTAACAGAATTCTAACCAGAATAAGTTTCAGGTAGTTGTAATCTGCAATCTCCACCACTAGATGCCACTAAATCCCCCTAAATCTCACACACGTTTCCTTTAATAACTCCCCAGTTTGTCAATGAACTCATCAAAAGCCCAAGTTATCCCTCCATCTGCCACTAGGGGAGGCAGCTGAACCCCAAGTTGAGGATCACAGATGTGTTAAAGCCAGTTTATCAACACACAACAAGCATCATATGTGTTGTACATTGTATGTGTGTGTACAGTGATTGCGTGGAGAAAAAGTGTATGTTTAAAAATGTAAGGAAAAAAAAGAGAACTCAAACATTTTCTTCTTGCCCAAAGAAAGTTTGGAGAATTATTTGATTTGCCTATAGAGTAAACTACCATCTGAGCCTTAACTGGCAATTGTTTCACGATTACGTACCTGCTCACAAACAGCTCAACTGTATCTTCCTTCCAATTCCCAATGGGGTTGCCAGCCCTGATGAAGATACGATCTTCATTTGGAGCAAACTTAAAATCCTTTGAGAGAACTGCGTGGAAGTAAATTGTGAGTCTGTCACGTGCGGCGATGATGTTGTTCCTGGTCAACCTAAAAAGCAAAAACAAATACATACAGATATAGCAAATATATAGCACATATGTAAAACCAGCAGCAGTGATCAAACGTGTACAACAGTGTGAGGGAGCTTCATCACCTTTTGGGTGGCGGGTCAGCTGGGGTACTGGATTTTGTGTTATCTTTATTGCTGCCTTTATTTTCATTTTCATCATCTGATGTTTGTGCTGCGGTTGAGTCCTCCTCGCCCCCAGACTGCTGAACCTCCATGTCCCCTCCTGTCTCCACCGGGTCCACACTGGAGCCTGTGCTGTCAGCCTGTACAAGCAGCATTAACCATTATCCATTAAATATGCATCTTAATCTACTAAAAGAATAAATTCATATATTCTAGTAAGTATTACCTTTGATGATAACTGAGGGCCAAAAACCATCTTCTGTTGTGCTGGTGCGGTCTGCTTCTGTTCCTGCTCCAGCTGGCTCTTTCCCTTCTGTTTGCTTTGTCCTTTCTGTTTTACATTTGTCTCCATTTTGGCATTCTGGTCCGACGCAGGTTGATTGGCCGTGTCTTTCTTGTTGCTTTCTTCTGCTTTCCTCTCCTGGTCCCCAGTGGAGCCTTTGCTGTCAGCCTGCACAAGCAGCATTAAACATGCATCTTAACAATGAAACTGAGCTTGCGTGCTTTCTCCACTAAAAGAATAAAGTGCAGGCTTCTGTCAGAACTTTTCGGACATTTTAGTCAGCATTACCTTTGATGATTTTTGAGGGCTAGCTGCTGCAGGCTGCTTCTGTTTCTGCTCCTGCTGGCTCTTTCCTTTCTGTTTGCTTTGTTCCTTCTGTTTTACATTTGTCTCCATGTTGGCATTCTGGTCCAGCGAGGATTGTTTGGCCGTGTCTTTCTTGTTGCTTTCTCCTGCTTTCCTCTCCTGGTCCCCAGTGGAGCCTTTGCTGTCAGCCTGCACAAGCAGCATTAACCATACATGTTAAATATACAAGTTAAACTCGTGAAAATTAACAGATGTACTTTCTTTACTAAAAGAATAAAGTACAGGCACCTGTTAAAACTGTTTATACATTTTAGTTTGTGTTACCTTTGATGATTTTTGAGGGCTAGCTGCAGCAGTCTGCTTCTGTGTCTGCTCCTGCTGGCTCTTCCCCTTCTGTTTGCTTTGTTCCGTCTGTTTCACACTTGTCTACATGTTGGCATTCTGGTCCAATGAAGGCTGTTGTGCCATGTCTTTCTTGTTCTTTACGTTTTTCGTGTCAGTCTTTTGATCTTTAGGGTTAATGGGATTTGTCCCTTTGCCTGAACCTGCCTGAGAAGTCGTACTCTTGCCATCCTCTGAGATGGGAGTCGGAGTGTCAGCTGTCTCGATTGTCTGATCCTGAGTTGATCTTGGTGTATTGCTTTCTCCCTCACCTGGGTCACCTGGAGCTTCCTCAGACTGCATCGCAGTCACTGCTTCTTCTGTGGCAGCAGCCTTTTCACTCTGAACGACTTGTGCATCTTCAGGTGGCGCAACAGGAATGTTAGCGGCTACAGAACCAGGCTGGTTCTCTAGTGAGGAGGGCCCGTCGTGGAGTGAATCTGGTGCGTCATCCATGGCATTATCTGAGCTTTCACTGTCAGAGGAGTCTTTTCCATCCTGCGTCTTCTTCCCCTGGTTGTCTCCGAGGGAGAGAAGGGACAGCTCTTGGTCTGCTGACAAGTTGCCATCTTTCTTCTTTTTGTTCCTCTTCCTCTTTTTTTTCTATTAAAGCCAGAAGGAAGAAGATACGTTTTACAAATCCTGCTGTACTTTTAAATGAAACCATGCCATATTCTAAATACAGAGTGAAAGGTTAAAAGGTCATTCTACTTATGGTTTACTGTGTGCGCTGCTATGTTCCTGTGACATCAGGTCTGTTTGTCAGTGATGTTGTGCCTGGTGGATCTTGCCCAAGTTTCCAAATTTGAATTTTTTTTTAGCCTTTATTTGATAGGACAGACAAGTGTGAAAGGGGGGAGAGAGAGAGGGAGAGACATGCAGCAAAGGGCCACAGGCTGAAGTCGAACCCGAGCCGCTGCGGCAACAGCCTTGTACATGGGGCACCTGCTCTACCACTAAGCCACCGACGCCCCGAATTCCTGCGTTTATACTCGTTCAATTGTGGGGAACAATCGTTCAATCACTTTGATAAATTCTATTTATTATTGCTAAGTTTAGTGTACATAGCCATCCTTTGTTGCGGCCCATGAGCCAGTCGGAACAATACCAAATATCAGAATGGATGATAGCATTCAGCCTTGAAGAATAACTCTTTGCAAACTTAAGATAAGTTTAAAGTTGCCATAACATTTGCTTGACAATCATAAAGTCACTGTACACCAAAAGCAGCTGCACTTAGACTCATATATAGAGACAGAAAATTGAAAAGCGAGGCCACACACTGATAGCTACACTAACCTTTTTCCTTAGGTTGCTGGTGGTCTCATCGTTCGGTCGTTTGGTGGATTTATTGGGGTCTTTGCCGTCCGCAGGTGGGTCGTTTTCCTGTGACACTGATTTCTCAGATGCACTTTCTGAGTCTGCTACCAAGGATTTAGGCTGATCTCCAGTGTCTGGAATAAAGACATGTGGTGTACAAATCAGACTGCACCCAAAGACAAAGCATTCGTACTTTACAGCATTTTGTCACACCTGCCTGCACTTGGTAGTGTTTGTTCAACCAAATAAACCCTTCTATTTTCATTCCTTTACGGATCATTGTAACTGATAATAACAATAGTAATACTGATAATAATAGTGTAATATCACATACTGTGACAGCATGATATTTTCTGAGACAGTTATCATACTGTGAAAATCTCTTACCACTACAACCCTAGCCACGTGGTTCAAGTCTGCATTTTCCCCATTGCCCTTTATAGATCACAATATTGACCTTGTTCTCAAATGTAATCTTGCCATTTGTGTAACTACAACCTGTCCTGCTGTCTGCGAACATGTGGACAGATGATGCAGAGATGCTGCCATCTTGAGGTACAGTAGGAGAATAACATGAACATCTGGCTGCAAACTTGTTTCATTTTTTATGTTAAGCACTTTCTAATTTTTTGCATGTTCTATGTAAGTAACAAAATGTATACTGTCATCATAATCTACAGAAAAAAAGGTTTTGAACAGTTGAACATAATTTTCATCATTCTTTCCTTTCACACAAGTTGTTAAATTTATCATTTAGGGAGAAAGTGATATTTAATTGTGTTTTTTTTTTTTTAGCAGTTAATGGCATTGATAGGGTAGTCCTCTGTTGCTGTGGTGCCCAACCAGGGGTCTGAGGACACCCAGGGGTCCTTGAAGAAGTTCCAGGGGATTCCCAAAAAATGAGGAGTACCCACTGTGAGTAGGAGTGATACCAGTGACTCTGTTGGTAAGTTTCACTTCCTCCACAGTTAACACCTCAAATCAACTGTAGAATTCTGGTCTTAATCAGATCTAACAGCCAAAACCTTTTCAGGTGCAGGTCCCTGAAATGAAACCTTATTAATTTAGGGGTCCTTGACACACACACACACACACACACACACACACACACACACACAAAAAAGGTTGAGAACCACTGTTCTTCAATGCACAGTACACCCCAGATGTCTCACAAATTATATTCTGATAGCTGTATCAAAAACAGCATTCTTTTATACACTGTGTGAACATCATTTATGAAACCCTGTATGCAAATATGTAATATTAAACCACATCTCTACTCACCCTGTGTGTTTGCAGGTTGGACACACAGCCTGTGGCCACACTTGCTGCAGAAATTGGCATCATTCTCCAAAATATCACGGCCACAACCAGGACACTTCATCTTCACACTTCAGTTATCTCTGCAGAGAAAGAAACAAGGCTGAACTGTAGTGTGCCTTGAGGTCCCACCCTGAGGAAGATTCCTTTCACTTTCAATTTCCCCTCTCATGAGGCCTCATGACAGTTTTCAGCTGTGCATAACAACCGCCCGCAACAAAGCTGTTTCTATCACCGACATGGACTTTGAGCAGTGTTGCCCAACACACTGACCAATAAACACTTAGTAAGGCTGAGTGATTGAAATAGGAATAATCATGCAGCAGTGAGGCAATGCAAGCCCACTTCAGTCCCGCTAACTCACAGCCAATAACCAAGTCACTGCAGCCAAAGAGGTGGAAAAACTAAGAGGTCTCGCTGCGCACTATAATACACTGAGTTCCTCAAAGAATATTGCACTAGCCTGAGGCTTTAGGGAGATAAAATGGACCAAAACTACTTAAAAGAAGAGCTCTTATGTAGAAAAAATAAACTTGCCTATTTATAGAATATTTAAGACATGTGGTGGCACCAAATAATTACCTTTCCAAGGGTGCAAAGGACAGATGGGCTTGACAGGATGCCCTCTTATCTTTACTACTTTTCTATTTGGTGGACACGCCTAAGTTTGCAGCTACTAGTAAAAGCTGATCATACATTTAATTCCTTTTTTATTGTCATGGGAAATAAATACAACAAAATTCAATGAACAGACTAAAACAGAACTCATCATAAAAGTAATAAATAGATAATAAAGGAGGGGATAGGGTATCATTCATTCACACTCTGAACACACACACACACACACACACACACACAAGCAGTGCCAACACATGCAGTGAACATAAAATATGAGTTACAATTCTGAGCTGCAGAGTTATTTATATATGTGATTGGTTTTGATGTTATAGCATGACGTGTCTTAATATGATCACTGCTTATTAAAAATCATTTGTGAAAACAAGGAAAGGGGGTTCAGTTAGACTTTAGTTAAACGCTGCTGTGCTCCCTTTTTCATTGAAACACTTTGGCTTTCTGGCTACACCCTGAGGCATTAAATAGCTCGAGCATTTAAACCCATAGCAGTGTTTGAGTGTGATTAAGTTTGTTTGTTTGCACTTTGTCCAAAAGTGTTTTTGTGAATATGTTTTGTCATGTCCAACAGAGCCAGTGAAAAAAATCAGTCACATTTTATTCTGTGCATACTTAAATACTTAAATTGTATGACTCCAATCTTTCTTTTGCACTTTTTATGTGTGTGTGTGTGTGTAAACATATTTTCAGGTCTATGTTACTGTGCTATTATTGATATGCAGGGAAAATGCACAAAAAAAAACAGGAAATAGGCTTGTCAGTGTACTTAATTATACAGTAATCTGCGCTATTTTAAATCTGGAATACTTGTAACACAGCACTGTAAAAGAAGTATAATGTAAATCACTTATGATCTGAGGTAAAATAAAAATAACAAGGAAAAACTACAGACTGGAACGTGGGTCGACGTTTTTCATGTACCGAGTGATTCCTCTTGTTTGTGAAAAGATCTTTGGCTCCACAGGTCAGCCAATCACATGCTTCCTTCGGAAATAACGTCACTACCTGTTTATATACCATCATTTAACCCTCACAACAACAGCTAAACTGAGAATACAGCCTAAATAAACACACAGCAGCCATTATTACTGTTGTATAGCAACACATTTAAGACTGTAGTTACAGCTCTTACTAAATAAATGTCCTCGCTACGTTTTAGCAGCGCGCTAGCTAACTAGCTAAACTCGCTCGCGCTGCGTAACAGTGACGTTAGCTAGCATGAGCATTAGCTGTGTCTGTCTGCTCTCTGGCACACTTTCCAGAAAACCAATAAACTGTGCAGGTGCAGGTGCAATGACAGCTGTCACTCAAAAGGACACGGGGTTTAAACCCAGTTTGAGCCAGACTTACTCAGAGGTGTCCCGTGACAGCGAGGTCAGATAGCTCCTCCAGCTAATAGGATTAGTTTATTGCTAATTTTGTCATAACGTAAAGTCTGACGTTGTCGCCTCCATATCTACAAAGCAAACATGTTAGCAGTCCTACCTGAGCTGGCGGTGTCGCGAGCTGTTCGTGTGTGGTGCGTAAAGGAAAAGCGCACAGGTCATGTCTGCTGGACCTGTCGCTGTACCGGCTGTGTGGAACCGATGTGTTTGCGTTTCCGCATGTCTTCTAAAGTTTCGTTTTGTCAGAAATGGGCGTCAGCTAATAAAGTTCACTTTCTGCATGAGTCATATCCATATTTTTATTTCACTACGCTGGGCAAGACAGAGCAGGGTCTCATGCGCAGGTGTGGGGAGTGACTAATCAGGCTTCTCATTAGGACACTGTAACCAAGTGGTTAATAAGAACCTCTTCTAATAACACCTTCACTCAGGGGTGTCAAACATATGCCCCGAGGGCCACAACAGGCCCCGCAAATGGTCCAATCCGGCCCACTAGATGACTTTACAGGCTTTTCCACCCTGACCACAATACCGCCCTCTGAAATAACAATGACTACTTCCTGTGGTCATATTTTAAGATACTGAATATTGTGAAACATATTGTCAGGCCTCTGATCAGGATGCCTCCTGGGTACCTCCCATTTGAGGTGTTTTAGGCACATCCTGGTTTTGTAGAAGGCCCCGGGGCAGACCCAGAACAAGCTGGAGGGACTATATCTCATCTGGTTTGGGGATGGCTCGGGGTCCCCCAGGAAGAGCTGGAAAGCGTTGCTGGGGAGAGGGACGTCTGGGGTGCTTTGCTCAGCCTGCTGCCCCCGTGACCTGGCCCTGGATAAGTGGATGAAAATGGATGGATGATGGATGGATAGTGTTGGCCAGCAGCTTCAGTACAAAAGAAGCTGTATCAGACTTTGCACATCATTTGTCTGAGGATATCGCATACTGTTCATTTGTTTTGTAAATGAATGAATGTTTTCACAATCTTTACACTAACTGTCTGCCCCATGGCTTGTGTGTTGGTGCATTTGTCCATACATAATAGCTATTGTGTTTTATCTATGTGTCCTTTCGATTGCTGCTCTGCATGTCTGAATGTGGTGCTAATCTGTGTGTTGGTGCTTCACGTTGCTTGCATGTCTGTTTGCTAACATGCCATTTGTTGTTGTTGTGTTATTGTATTGTACTGATGCTCTGCTGTTGCTTGTTGCTTTGCATGCTGCTGTCTTCATGCTGTCTTTGTCCTGTGAACTTTATCCTGTTATTGGTTTCAAAACATCTCACCAAAGGACTGCAGTTGAAATTTAGCCAGCTGGCTAACACTGACACATTTACAGAAATGCTGATTAATGTGCGTTGTCCTTATAAATAAAATAAAGTAAATACACTAAAAAGAGTTATTGATATTTATAGGTTATTATGTATTGATTTTACTGGTCCGGCCCACTTGAGATCAAACTGGGCTGTATGTGGCCCCTGAACTAAAATGAGTTTGACACCCGCTCTAATCAATATTTTTGATTTAGGCTGTGATACAGTGACATTTAAGTGCTTTATAAGGCAAGAACAGAGTAGCTATGTGTCATGGCATCCACAAGGCAACATTTGCTTTCTCACTATGAATTGTCACCACTGAAAAGCGTGATGGGCGAATACATAGGGAGCCATGACCGAGTGATTTAGTTACACATTTATACAATGTGGGATTTCCCTTTTGTCTTTTTACTGTTTTATAAAGAAATGTGTCTTAGAGCACTAAAGTTAAGTTTCCAAATGTGTATGTGCACCCCTTAGAGAGCACTGTCACACAGCTTGATGACCTGTGGCATAAAAAGCACATCACTGTTTTAATGTGAGGAGGAAGTGGGTATATTCTCTTATATCTTCCAATGGTGTTTAGGCTGATAGGTGGGTATACTGTAAAAACCCAGAAAAAATGGTGGGTAAACCCTCCACTACACCACTGGTTGGCTCTCTTTGCGTTAAACAAGGGTCGTCAGTAGCCTACATAACCATGCATGCAGAAATTAACTTAAAGTCTATTAGCTGCAGCCACTGGTCACATTTAAATGATCACAACACATTCAGGCCCTCAAAGAAATACAGCTTGTGGATGTATTGTACTTTGATTTTCACTCTGAGTAAGGACACACACAGCAGATCGTTAGAAAAATAGTTGCAGCCTACTGGAAACCCCCTTCATGATGTGCTTCAGTGTGGACATTTTACCGTTTGTTTCATTGTCATTTTAAAGCTACACATGGATTCAGGCTGAGCAATGAGTGAAAGCAGAGGACAAAGATTACATTTGCGTAACACTGTCTCAAGGTAATCTGTAATAGAAACTAATGTACGAGCAACAGATCCACTATCCTGTTTCAATTCTCAGTAAAGTGAAACATGCTCAACCTGCAGATGTTTACAGTTACACTCAGCATCCTGTGATGCCTGTGGGATTGACCTTTTATCCAGTTATGAGCTGCTCCTCTCCACAGCTCTCACATGACACCCACTTCTCCACTGAGGAGTGTTGTGTTCTGCATCGTGCAGTTGGAGTAACAGGGGCTCGATATGAACTTGTCTCAGGATGCTGTACTTTAAAATTGTCAACAGAGGGCAGACAAATCTGAAAGCTTGGGTAAGAATGTGCCATGGAGTGCAGGGACCATGCAAGTTTTCACATTAACCACACATTTGTAGCAAGACTTCCACATCTCTAAGAGATCAGTCACCTAAGTTATCCTGCTGAAACACCAATCGTGAGGGTTTCAGGTTCTTTTTGTGCAAGTATGTTACCATGGTAACCTGGACTGCACTCCCAGATCAGGGGTGTGTTACATTCAGGCTGTCAGATCCACAGGTATTCAAACTAGTCACATGCAACCTGTATAAACAATAAGTTTAGAGAGTCCTGCGAGTAAGAGGAGATGTTCGGAGTGTGTTTGTTGTCTCAGACACAAGAAGCATGTCAAGGCTATTTTATGGCTGCTTGCATTCACTGGCAGGTAGCTTATATAGGATGACAGAGGAGACACCTGCACACCAACTGGGCTGGACAGCCACGAAAATGTCCACAGGCTGAGATCAATGCCAAAATAGTCAATTTATTTAAGACATCCGTTCACAAAAAGAAGAGTGCTCAAAGTGCAAATAATAAAAAGTGACTAAAAACAGCAGCAAACGTTTCAGTCCTCGTCTCGACTATCATCAGTGCTACCATCAGTGCTGTCATCAGGGCACCGTTTCACAGCAGCCCTCAGACTGCAGGTAGCTTATAAACATTAAATGAGCAGGGCATCAGTAAGCAGTCTCTGTGGGTCCCCCACCCTGCCATGCACCTTTTTTCCTTCTTTCTTTCTTTCCTACTTTCTTTCCTACTTTCTTTCTCTCTTTCCTTCTTTTCCTCTTTCCTTCTCTCTTTCCTTCTTTCCCTTTTTCCTTCTCTCTTCCCTTCTTTCTCTCTCTCTTTCTCTCTTTCCTCCTTTCTTTCTCTTTCCTTCCTTCCTTCTTTCTCTCTTTCCCTCTTTCATTCTTTCTCTCTTTCCCTATTTCTTTCTCTCTCTCTCTCTTTCTCTTTCCCTCTTTCTCTCTTTCCTCCTTTCTTTCTCTCTTTTTCTCTATCTCTCCTTCCTTCCTTCTTTCTCTCTTTCCTCCTTTCTTTCTCTGTCCCTCTTTCTTTCTCTCTCTCTCTCTCTCTCTTTTTCTCTCTCTTTCCCTCTTTCTCTCTCTCTCCCTCCTTCCTTCTTTTTCTTTCTCTCCTTCCTTCCTTCTTTCTCTTTCTCTCCTTCCTTCCTTATTTCTCTCTTTCCTCTTTTCTTTCTCTCTTTATTCCTTTCTTTCTCTCTTTCCTTCCTTCTTTCTCTCCTTCTCTCCTTCCTTCCTTCCTTCTTCCTCTCCTTCCTTCCTTCCTTCCTTCCTTCTCTCCCTTCCTTCCTTCCTTCCTTCCTTCCTTCTCTTCCTTCCCTCCTTCCTTCCTTCCGCTCACTCAGCTCTGGTTGAGTTTAGAGCTGAATCCTAGAGCAGGAGTGGATTAAACCATTTTATCCTTTAAGGGGGTGGGAGGGGCCTTAGAGAGCTTCCACATATTTTTTATTACAACATTCAGTCTTTCAACCTATGTATATATAGAACCAATTTTAATTTAATTGTGGCATTAAACATTTAGAAATAAAATAGTAATGATAATAATAACTTAATTTGTATAGCAGCTTTAAAAACAGAGTTTCCAAAGTGCTTTGACAAATGAAACAAAAGCAGACACGGGATACTGAGAAGGCAATTTAGCAACAGAAAGCCAAACTGTCCTACTAAATATAATCGAGACAAAACTAGGGAAGAGTTAAGATAAAGTCAAAACAAGAGGACAAAAAATGCAAAATGCAAAATATCCATATAAATAAATAAACAAATATAAAGACCAGAAACAACATTAAGCAATAAAACAACAAAATAAATAAAACAAATAACATATAAATAAAATGAAATAAGAAGATGACATCACATTAAAGCAAGTCTATAAAAATGGGTTTTAAGAAGTGATTTGAAAGAAGTCACTGATTCTGTGAGCCAATTAAAACATTGCAAACAAAACCAAACGTTTCATCCCAGGCTTTTCAAGGGCCCCTTTCCCATTCTCTCCCCCACACTATGTCAAAGAGGAATGAGTGTCACATCCACAGAGAGAAACATGACCGAACCTTAATGAGTCATGAGTTGACTTGTTTCACATTCACTTTGAGTGCAGTTTTCCCACAAATTTTTACTGTTTTGGGTGCCATTCCCCTCCTATAACACTGAGAGAAGAGCAGAGACAACAAAGCATCATGTGACAATGTGTCAGTGGGGTCTCTTGACTCACAGGCGCTCCTCTACACTGATTCAGACACGAAAAGAGAATTAAGTGACACCCTAAACACTAAAAACATTTATTGAATTCCCAATGTGCAGCTTACAGAATCATTGCAAACATGTAAATGAGTCATTTAAAAACACAAATTCCCAGCATGTCTTTCACCAGATTACCTTTACCGACATAATCTAACAGGTTACTATTAAAGAGTTGAGGCTGGAGTTAATTTGTTAACACTAAAATATACCTTAAAGTACACGTAACACAAAGACAATACACAAAACACACACGTAAAGGAGATGTTTGCAATAATATCGACATACTTATTCACATTTCACATCTTTTCATGTCCATATTCATCAATAATTAATACATCTCAATGGTGATGTTGCC